TTTGGGGCCATCTCAGCTGATGCAATCCCAGCATCTGAGGGTGACGTCTCCATTCTCATTAAAGTGTCTCTGCTCACACCGGTGCCCTTAAACGTATCGCATCTCTTTTATGAGAAGAATTTGCTTCATCTTCAAAGCCTGGACATACCAGGCTGCTGGTGTTCCTCCTGGCTGAGCGCATTGCGTAACACGCTGGCACATTCGAGAGCTGAGTTTTAAAACTGAGTATTGCCTCACCTGTGGGTTTCCTTGTGTTGTTGTGCCGCACTGAGGGGTAAATGAAACGCCGCCCAAATCCAGGTGAGAATGAATCCCGTGCTTTCAAATGCACCGACACTTCTGGGTGTGGCTGCTTTTCACAGCCCAGACCCGGGAGAGGCTGAAGACCCCCACCCGCCGCCCCCTGTGAACACGCAGACAGAACTTCGGGAGGAAATGTGGAAACACAACCGTCCTTTTCTGTTATTCAGTAACATTGTCAATCACCAACAATATCCTCTTTTTGATTTTACATACTAGTTTGGAAAATAAAAAGTATTCGGACCAATATCATGGGGTGATCAAGTTCAGATCTGAAAGGCAGGTTACAGTGATCAAGCATCTATTTTAAAGCAGCCTACAAACTGTTCCAAACCCTGTTCCCACATCCTCAGTCCTGGCTGGCACATGCCCTGTTCACCACGTGCGCCACCAAAAGTGCAGAGCACACTGCTCCCCGTGGTCCCGAGGGCCCAGTCCTGCCCCCCCCCACCCAGGACCCGGAGACCAGCCCTGGAATTCAGTCTGTTCCCACGTGTCCCTGGGCCCCTCCTGCCCTCACAGGCTGGGGACAAGGGCTGGCAAAGAACCAGCTGCACTTTCTCTGGGCCTTGAGGGCTTCTCTGTCACCCCTGCGGACACATGGTCACATATGCCTCCCCTCCCACCGCAGTCCTGCCACCTCCGCGTCCTCTTCCCCTGTTGTGTGCTCATTTGCTGCTTTCCAAAAATAGTGAACTAGTCTACTCAAATATTAAATGTTCACCTGGATCTTCGATGTCGAAGTACATGTCATCTCCCGGGGCGGGCTCACCTGGGCGCCCGGACCTCCGGGGCCGCGCTCTCCCGAGAGAGCAAAGCGCCATCCAGGCCGTGAGGCTGTGATGCAGGACCTGCCCTGCACTGGGCAGAGGCCCCCAGAGCAGTGATTTCCCATCGCGATGGTCCGGTCTCTCTGCGGCACCGCGGGAGGGCGAACGCCTTATCCAAGGAGCTCTGGCCGCTGTTCTCCTTCCTGGAGCCTTCCCTGTGCTCAGGGAGACAGCCTGTCCGCCATTAAAACACACGACAGTTTTCATCGGGATCCAGCAGATTAAGAAGAATACAGGGGTGGGCAAAAGTAGGTCGACAGTAATAACCATCAGGAATGTAGCAACTCATAACTAATGATTCCAGAATGAACCGTGTTCTGCATACTCGCAACTGAAGACCTGCTCTTGCTCTGGTGGTTAGTTATCGGGTGGACTCCAGTTCTTGTCGGGCCCGGGCATCTCGGAGCTGACCCACAGCAGTGCGTGGACACCCCCAGGGTCCGCCTCTCACCCTCCCCCCCCACCTGACAGAGCAAATCTGTCCTTAGGTTTAGTGAACAAGTCTCAGTGTTTGAAATCCTTCCTAATGTTTTATGGCACTTGAACTCCACATTGTTTAGTAGTCTGTTTTTTGCTGGTCCTGCTAAGCTAGAAATTAATAGATTAAAGATTATAAATAACCACGAGCACTGCTCTGCAAAGCCAGGGGATGAACACAAGGGCAGGAGGATCCTTGGTGCTCGGCACTGATGTCCCCATGGTGTGGGGACAGACCCACAACCAAACTGCAGCCCTGTCTGTCCAGGAGGAATCCGGGTGGGATACACAGTGAATGGGGCCACAATGTCATTAAACAAATAGACGACTAAAGCCACGGTGCCACTTAAACGAAGGGTAATTTGTTGCAAAGGGAAAAGAAAATGTGCCCGTGGTGACCGTACACAGTGAGGGATCTGGAGACGCAGCACCGAGCAGACGTGAGACCACGGGTGGTCTGGAGACCCACGATGCTCAAGCTGTTTGATCCGGGCTCCACCCCGCTCACCTTGCTTCTTGCAGATTCTGGATAATTTGACTAATTGTCTCAGAGCCTCAGACCAGGGGCTCCCAGGATGGCATTTCAGTGCAAACTGGAGAATCTGCCTTCTGCACGGGGCTGCGGAGCAGACTCACACCCACCCTCACACTGAAGGCAGAGGTCTGCCTGGTGCCAAGCACCCAACAACCAACATCTGACTTTCAGCCACAACAAGAATGGAAACTTTCATGTTATTTTATGAAAAGCCAAAAGGCAAGAAAAAACACTCAGCAATAAATCACCAGAGCCAGACTCATGTGTAACAGGACATTGGAATTAACAGGCTGAGAGCTTAAAACAATCTGTGGATAGATTCTATTAGGGCGTTTATTCAAGTAAATGTTAACTTATATTTGTGATTTTATCCACTTATGTTTTTATTGTTGCTCAATTACATTTGTCCCCATTTTCTCCCCATTACGCTCCCCTTCCTTACCCACTATTCATCCCCCAGTTCCCAACTCAGTCCTGCCCCCCACACCTGTTGTCTTTGTCCCTGGGTCCTTCATACATGTTCCTTCAGGACCCTTCCCCTTCTTTGCCCCAGTCTTCTCTCCCACCTCCCCTGTGGTTACTGTCATTTGTTCTTAATTTCAATGTCTCTGGTTATATTGTGTTTGCTTGTTTGTTTTGTTGATTAGGTTCCTGTAAAAGGTGAGATCATGTGGTATTTGTCTTTTACCACCTGGCTTCTTTCACTTAGCATGGTGCTCTCCAGTTCCACCCATACTCTCACAAAGGGTAGAAGCTCCTTCTTTCTTTCTGCTGCATAGAATTCCATTGTGTAAATGGACCATTGTTTTTTTTTTATCCACTCATTTACTGTTGGGCACTTACGTTGCTTCCAGCACTTGCGTATTATAAATTGTGCTGCTATGAACATTGGGTGCATAGAATCTTTAGAATAGATGTTTCAGTTTTCCTAGGGTATAATCTCAGAAGTAGAATTGCTGGGTCAAATGGCCGTTCCATTTATACTTTTCTGAGGAAACTCCACACTGTTTTCCACAGTGGCTGCACCAGTCTTCATTCCCACCAACACTGCACCTGGCTTCCCTTTTCTCCACAGCCCCTCCAACCCTTGTTGTTTGTTGATTTGTTCACGATGGCCATTCTCATTGTGCTTTTAATCAGCATCTCTCTGATGGCCAGTGATGCTGAGCATCCTGTCACATCTCTCTGAGCTCTGTGTGTCCTCCTTGGAGAAGTGTCTTTTCAGGTCCTTTGTCCATTTTTTCATTGGATTGTTTGTCTTCCTGGTATGGAGTCCTGTGAGTTCTTCATATATTTTGCAGATCAAACCCTTGTCTGAGGTATCATTGAGAAATGTATTTTCCCATGCAGTTGGTTCTTTTTTCATTTTGTTGGTGCTTTCTTTATCCATGCAGAAGCTTTCTAATTTGATGAGACCCCATGTGTTTATTCTCTCATTTATGTGCCTTGCTCTAGGGGACACATCAGTGAGGATGCTGCTGCCTGTGGTACCTGAGATTTTCCTGCCCATGTTCTCCTCTAGGACTTTGATGGTGTCGTGATTTATATTTAAGTCTTTCGTCCATCCTGAGTTTATTTTTGTGTGTGGTGTGTGTTGGCGTGGTTTCCCAATGGGGAGCTTTTCTTTCAACCTCACCTGAAACTCGCTTGGTCCTGATGTGTTGCCTATTTCATACATCGCTACCTTCAATTTGTTCACAAGTTCTGGGGAGTTTTACACGTGTCTTAATTTTGTGCAAGCCTGAGTGAGAAATGCTGGCCTGTAGTTCTCCCTGCTGATGACATTATGTTTTTCTTTTGAGAGATTGCAAAAAATAAAAAATTGTAGGTGTTGCTATTATTCTCTGGAATAGAAAGAATTCACCAGTGAAACCATCTGACCTTAAAAGGATTTTTGAGATCTCTATTGTGGATTCATTTCTACGTGAGATACACAATGATGGATGCAGACTTTTTTCTTCTCAGGTCACTCTTCATAAATTTAAAATAACAATAAATAGTTGAGATCAAGAAAATGGTTTTTGCTTTTATTTCAGATTTTTTTCTAACATATTTTGAACATGCCCAAATGAGGAAGACTAAACAGTCCAGCCGATGGCACACACCCATTTCCCAGAAGTTACAGTGCTTCATATTTCAGTGTTTAACATTTTTATATAATTCTTGTACTTTATTTTCTCAAGGGTTCTAAAATACTTCACATGCAACTTGAAGTTCCTCCCTATTGCTTTGCTTTGAAATTACCAAAGTGATTTCCAAGGAATGATAGATGAAAATGTTAAACTGAAGTTTGATTATCATTACAGAGCCATTTCAACTTTAGACATAAAACCCCACATTTGGGTCAAGAAGAAAGGAGAGATGAGGAGGAGGAAGAGGAGGGAGAGGTGCTGGAGAAGAAGAGGAAGAGGAGGAGGAGGAGGAAGGCGTAAGAGAAGGCAGGAAGTAAGAAGAGGTAGAAATGCACACAGCATCTAATTTATTGATAAACATCGACAACACAAGAAGAAACCAGCGGGGAGTGGACGATCGTGTTGACGCAGCCCAGGGATTGGTCGTGAGGAACGGGACTGAGGCTCAGAACAGGCCGCCCCCAGCAGAGAAGTTCACTGTCAGACATCAGATCTGGAGAGACGCAGCCCGGCTGGAACATGACGATCCTCCCTCCTGCTCAGAGGTGGACCCCGAGGACCAGGGCTGAGCAGTCGCCAGCATCCAGGTCCCCGAGCCTCCCTGCCCTCGTTGTGGGAGCCGGGATGTCAGACCTCAGTGCAGAGATGCAGGCAGGAGGTGCAGGCTACAGGTGGGGGCTGGGCTTCTGGGGGCAGCGGGCTGGCAGAAGTGAGTGGGCTGCTCACTCAGTAGAAGCCAGAAGACCAGTACCTTCCATAGCAGCAGGGGCGCCAGCAGCCACATCCATAGCCTCTGTAGCCACAGCCGTAGCCCAGGCCACCAAAGCCACCATAGCCATAGCCCAGGCCACCAAAGCCTCCATAGCCGTAGCCCAGGCCTCCATAGTAGCTGCCGTAGTAGCTCATGGTGTCAGTGGGGTGAGTGTGTCTGCTGCTCAAGACAAGACCCTGAGTGTGTCTGTCAGCGAGTGTGCAGGGGCACTTATATACCCTGTGCAGAGCGTGCGGTTGAACACGTGCCTCCTTCACTGCGTCTTTTGGGGCCATCTCAGCTGATGCAATCCCAGCATCTGAGGGTGACGTCTTCATTCTCATTAAAGTGTCTCTGCTCACACCGGTGCCCTTAAACGTATCGCATCTCTTTTATGAGAAGAAATTGCTGCATCTTCAAAGCCTGGACTTACCAGGCTGCTGGTGTTCCTCCTGGCGGAGCGCATTGCGTAACACGCTGGCACATTCGAGAGCTGAGTTTTAAAACTGAGTATTGCCTCACCTGTGCGTTTCCTTGTGTTGTTGTGCCGCACTGAGGGGTAAATGAACAGGGGCTCAGCAGGTGCACCCGTAGCCTCTGTAGCCACAGCCGTAGCCCAGGCCACCAAAGCTGCCACAGCCGTAGGCCAGGGCTCCACAGTAGCTTCCGTAGTAGCTCACGGTGTCAGGGAGGTGACTGAAGTCCAGTGCCATGTGTCAGTTTTGCGAGTGTGACAGCACAGAGACATCTCAGTGCACGGGTGGGGGGTGGAGAGCCCCACCTCTGAGTGCCACCCGAGAGGACAAACTCCTTGAGCGTTGTGTCAATCACCTGATCTCCTGACTGGGTCGGCGTCTCCCTCTGGTTCGTGTGACTCGTTATTGAAGGGGCACGTGCCGTGTTTCTCTGTTTTATGTAAATTCCTAGAAAGGTATTTACTGTCGATAAGATGCTACCGTGTTTTTATGATCGGCACACTTGTTTGCGTTTCTGAGTGTCAAACTCTGTAAATAGTTCATCTCTAGAGCCTCAGAGAGTCTCCCAGCTGCATCGCGTGGGCTGCCTCTGCCCCTGACCCTGCCCTCCCTCAGCGGCCTGTGGCTGTTCACGCTTTCTAAGCCAAGGGTGCTGTGCTTCTCCTCCCCAGAATCCACACACACTGAAGCCCAGGTCTTCCCCGAAGTACCGGTCCTGTGTGAGACCGCAGCCGGCTGTGCCATACCCTGTAATACAACCTGCTCTTCCTGTCAGCTGAGAGCCCCCTTGGCGACATTTAACTTTTTAGAGGGCCACAGGCTGAAGTCAGAGCAGTTTCCCAATCACCACGTGTCACGTGGGAGAAGCCTGCTGGGCAGATGCCGTGGAAGGTGGTATCAGAAGAGTTTCCGCGCGTCCGTGTAAATGTTCCCTGCAGTACTGTTACAGTCCTGCTCAGTTACCGGCTCAAGGTCAGGCAGCTGGCTGGTGGCCGAGATGAGCTGAAAACTGCTCCTTTTGGCTCAAGAATCACTGCTCCCGAGCACAGGGCGTGGCGCGCTGGGAACCCCGCCCCCACCAAGGCCTTCGGAGGCAGCGTGGCTTCCAAAGAAAGTCCTTAACACTCACAGGAGAAACACAAACTATGAAAAACACAGTTCTTTTTAAAAAGAAATTAAGATTAATGCTTTAAACATTCCTTTTCAGGTCTACTTTGGTTGGCTCAAGAAAGCAAGGACTGCTGCTCAGAGTGTCGCCTGTCTGGATGCCGCAGGAACGCCGTCCATCGTGGGTGACGGTCCGTGTCACTGTCACCTAGAAATTCCCGGGGGACTCGCCAGCCGGCACGACTTTCCAAGTGGTTGCTCCACCCACAGACAGTCACCTAAGGATTCGTTGAGGAAACTAGAATGAAAATGATTGTAATCCCAAAAAGCTGTTATAAATGTTGCAGAAGAACATGAAGTTCTTTGAAAAGAATACGATATTCTTTACCAAGTAAAAATATCCTTCACTAATGTTTTACGTAGGAGAATTCAGTGAAAGCCTCCAGCAACACATGCACGATTAAAACTTACGGCCATTAAAATAGTGTCTTTCTTACACAATCAGTTCTGTAACTTTGATCTTTAGACTAATGACGGTTACAAAACAGGGGCCCGATTCTTCAAAGTCACCTCCCATCGATTTCACATGCGCACTCGTAGCAATTCCTGCCTGATGGTCACCACTGTCCCTGATGACCACAGTCGGCCGGCTAGCCCACTCCCGCGTCCAGTTTCCGGGTGAGTCCCCCCGGAAGCTGTGGGGTGAGCGCGTGTGTCCTGGGCCAGCTGCCTCCAGCTGTTGTTTGCAGGGAGATTGGTGCAGACCACTCGGCCGGACGCACACACTGTGCCCAGCACAGTCGAATCCTCCCTTCTTTTCTTTGTAATTTTTTACAGTATGTTGACTGACCTCTGTGTACCCTCCTTGGGGAAGTACCTGTTCAGACCCTTAGTCCATTTTTTAATTGGATTGTTTTTCTTCCCGGAGTGGAGTCGTGTGAGTTATTTTTGTATTTTGGAGATCAAACCCTTATCCGAGGTTTCATCAGCAAATATGTTTTCCCATACGGTTGGTTTCTTTTCCATTTTGTTGATGCTTTCTTTATCCATGCAGAAACTTTTTTAATTTGATGAGATCCCATTTGTTTATTCTTTCCTTTATATCCCTTGACCTAGGGGACATATAGTGAAAATATTTCTGCTGTGTTTTCCTCTAGGACTTCTATGCAGCGCCCGGAGACCCGTGAAAAAATACTCAGCATCCCTGGCCATGAGAGAGATGCAAACGAAAACCACAATGAGACACCACCTCACACCAGTCAGAAAGGCCATCACGACCAAATCCACAAACAAGCGCTGGTGAGGCTGTGGAGCAAGGGGACCCTCGTGCACTGCTGGTGGGAATGCAGACTGGGGCAGCCGCCGTGGGAAGCAGTGTGGCGTTTCCTCAAAAAACCGAAGCTGAAACTATCTTTTATAGGTACATTTAATGTACAAACTGACAGTAACGGGGCGGGTGCAGAGGAGGGTGGTAATGGGGAAAGAAGGGGAAGGGACAAGCAAAGGAACATGAACAGAGGACTCGTGGGCGTGGACAATGGGAGGGCTTGTCTGTGGGAGTGGGGGGAAGGGTAGGGGTGAGCAATGGGGAAACAGCGGGACTACTATATCTGAGCACCAATAAAAAGTATATCTTAATAAACGATGTTTATTGATTTTAGAGAGGGGAAGGGAGTGAGAAACACCAATTGTTTGTCTCCCACATGCAGTCTGACCAGGGGTTGAACCCGTAACCTAGGAATGTTCCCCGACCCGGAATCGAGCCCCCTGTCTGTTGGTGTCTGGGGGGTTGCTCCAACCAATGGAGCCCCCCGGCCAGGGCGAAATGCTCTCTGCTCGTGCTTCTGTTTAATGCTGACTTCAGGCAGGGAGCGTTCGCTGGCTGGCGACCCACGGTCTGGGGAGATGCCCCTGCGGGGAGACCCCCGCACCCAGTACCGAAACCTCCCTCACAGGCGGACGCAGAGAGTTGCAGCTGTGCCTCCCTCCGTCTGGGCTGCAAGGCCGTCTGGGTCACGGGGAGCTTTGTCCGTCTCTCTGCCTCTGGTGATTAGGACCCTCCAGCCCCCACGTGATGCCATGTCATTCTTGGGGGGCTGATGGGATAAGTGAGTGGTGGTGTCGGTCCGGGAGGCACCGTCACCAGGGTGACGCCGCGCACCCTGCTGGCTCCGGCCCACGCGGTTCACAGCACGATTCTTCCCAGGTGCCCAGCCCGGGCTGCCTAGTGACAGGGGCTGCCTTGCCATGTGGACTAATGCGCACTTACTTTGCAAACTCACGGCACTTCTGGTCTCGGTCGCTGGCACTTGTACTGCAGGTGGCCTGCTCTGCCTCCCGTCCACCAGTGTCACTGAGAGCTGCCCCAAGTTCTGGGAGTGGCCCGTGGAAGACACCCACTGTCACTGTGTGCTTTATTTTCATGATGACCTCGGGTTCTGGTGGCGTCTCGCAGAGATTTTTTTACCCCCTTTTCCCAAACGTTATGTGCTTCTGCTTTTGACCAGTGAGGTCTCTAGAATCCAGAGCTAAGGACGCAACCGTCATAATCGATATGTTAGTGGGGCGGAGGGCCTTTCGGAGGCTGCCATTCGCGTAAGACACATCATGAGAACTCCTGTCCTGACGTCGGAGAGGAAGCTCCTGGAAGAGGCGACAGAATTCCGTTCCTGCAGGATGTTGTCACCCTGATGTTAGTTCTGTGTTGCGTGGTCTTGTCTGAGTGAGCGGCGAAGCAACTGGAGGCAGGAGCGATGGGGGAACGGAGCGGGGGGGGCGATGCGGGCACTGCGTGACGCCCGCACGCAGAAACACGCTCACACGCGTGCCCCGGGCTGGCTGGGCCCTTTAAACAGAATCACACACGGACTCACAGACGTGCAATCAGTCCGATTATTGGAGGGAGCACTAACCAAGGCAGGGACGCTCCGAGGAGTCAACACCTGCAGTTGGCAAGTGTCTGTGTGGACACCCGAGGTGAGGACTTGCTGAGCCGCGCACTGAAATGCAGCGCAAAGCTCCGGGTTCCTGTAAAACGGGGCCAGCAACTTGGCTGACCCATCACCACAGTTGGTGAAGGCCGTCTGAGCCCCTCAGGTATGGTTGAGTCCAGAGAAGTGGCCGCAGTAGAACAGACCTGTTCACAGCACCGCTTCTGACAGCACTGGAGCGCAACCTGCCCGGAGCCAGAGCCCGGAGCCTGGAGCCCAGAGCCCGGAGCTCGGAGCCAGAACCGCTGTGTGACAGCTTGTGCAGTGAGTGCGAACAGCCTGGGGCTGTGGACAGTGGTCCCTCTGTGGACAGGGGACCAGACCAGAGCAGGTGCGGCTGGGCCGACGCGCTGCTGACCAAGTGCTGGAAGAACTGGACGTCCCCCGCCCCCCGCAGGCTGACTCCGGGTGACAGCCGTGCCACCATCGCCAGGTGTGGCCCAAATGCAAGCACGCGGACCCACTGCGGGTGGACACCCCGAAACCTGCACCGCTGGCAGGAAAGGGAAGCCCGGCTGCCGGGCAGAGACGCAACAGGAGAACACATCGCAAGTGCTGGGGGAGCGAGTTTAATGAAAATTTCCTCATCTCACATAGACAATCTGGAATGAGGGTTGTGCCAAAATATGGACCCCCAAGGAGCATCGTCGCCCAAATGCCCCCCCACACCCCTCGCCCACACCCAGTGGAGTTCAGGTGACTGTCCATCCAGTGCCGGGTACCGAAGTCTCAGGTGGCCCCAGGACCTGGGGCCGGCCCATGACTTCAGTAATCGAACCAGGTGCCGACAGTGGGGTGTGTCCAGGGAGGGTCAGCGAGGGGACGGGCAAGGCCACAGGCAAGGCCACTCAGTAGTAGCCAGAGGACCAGAACCTCCCATAGCAGCAGGGCCGGTAGCAGCTGTATCCGCACCCACCGTAGCCCCAGCCCAGGCCCCCAAGGCCGTAGCTGCAGCCCAGGCCTCGGTAGCAGCCGTAGCCACAGCCCAGGCCCCCATAGTAGTTGCCGTAGTAGTTGCCGTAGTAGCTCATGGTGCCAGGAGGTGAGGGTTCGGAGGAGAAGGCGAGTCTGTGTGCAGAATGGGCGGTGAGGCTGCAGCGGGACCTTTTATACACCCTGGGCCGTGGGCGTGGCCAACAAGCAGCCCGGCTCACGTTTGACAACTAATTTGTAGGAAAACTATGTCATAACCGTGTGGTCATCTAGAGAGGAGGCCCTCACACCCACTCACGCCAGCGTCACTGCTGCCTCTGAATTCTTGGAGGTGGACGTGGGCCTCAAGTAATAAGGCCAAATTTACTGCCGTGCTTGGGCTCTGCTGCCGAGCTCCCTGTCCTCGCATCCTTGGAAGCCACGCTCACTACTCGATCTCGCTGTGAAATAAGCCCACGTGCCTCAGCACATGCAGGACACAGACGGCAGAGTCCCCAGGCCGCCCCGGGGCGGGGGGCACACAGGGCCGCTGGTGCTTGCCAGCCACACGGTCCTGAGTTTTGTTTTGGGGGAGTCCGGATAAACACCGCCTTTTGTCTTGTTTTAGCTTTTTGGCAGAACCGATGTTGGGGTTTGCCGGCCAGTCGTGTTTTTAGAGTAATTCACAGCGCTGCGTTCCTCCTGGTTCAGAAGTTTTCACGCAGCTGTGTGCTGCTGGGTTCCACATGCACCCACATTTCGTGAGCATGAGAAGTCTAGAAGATGTTCGCCCGGGGAAAGTAGGTGTGTATTTGTGTGTGTGTGACATTTATGAGTGTCTTCAAAGGTAACACCTGTAGAGGAATTGTACATATTGACAGGTGTATTCTATACACCAATATCTAAGATGCACCCATCCTTTCTCTCACTCTCGGAAACCGATTTCCTTGACATTTCCTAGTGGCACCCAAGGGCCAGTGAAACACACATGGAGGGACACTTACCCAACACTGGGGAGACCGGGCGGAGCACCGGCAACACGACCGTGTGGAGGGTCCGTGGCATTTTCAGTGTGGATTAGCTGTCACCAACGTTGGAGGTGAAGGGCAGCGCCGTGTTCTCACCGAGTCCCACCCAGCAGTACAGCCTGAGCCGCTGCGCGCGGCTTCGCGTCTCGGTTCTTCACTGCCGTTCACGTTCCCCGATTACGGTTCTGTTGCTGCTGAAGTATTTCCACCTCCAGCCAGTTATTGCTGATGTTAAAAAGAATGATGGTGGTGTGAAGAGTGGTGTTTAAATATGACAAGAAAGCTCTGTTTACCCAGGAAAGGATCAGAGAGTCTTCATGAAATGAAATGATTAGAGACACAGTTTTTACGGGTAGAGATTTTTTTAGATATCTGATACAAAATCTGTAGATCATTTTTTGACCATCCCAATGGTGATCTTAATTTTACAAGATAAAGACATGGTTGTCTTATTAACTGACTCTATGAACAACACTTAGCCACAGAAAATGAACCATTCTCTGTTTCTGTGTTTCCCAAAAGGGCTGCTTCAGTCTGAGTGCACTGTTCAATGTCATCGTCAGTGTGAAAAAACACGCGTGGACTCTGCAAAGGAGCACTGAAATGAGGCAAGTCCGGTTTCCACGATTAGCGCATCTTCCGCAGAGGAGGTCAGCTCACCAGAGGCGGTGCAGCAGAACGCGAATCCTGCCGGAGGGCCCAGCGCGTGGTCCCACCCGGCGACACAGAACATCAGAGCAGCGACCAGGGAGAGTAACAAAGACTGCACGGGAGTGGACTGTAATAAAATAAACACTATACACTCAAAGACCCTTCTGTACCCGCTGCCACAGCCTCACAGAAAGTACTCGCGGATGACAGCTCATCCAAGTTCAACGTCGGTGTCAACCAACCAGCAGGGAGCGCCGGTCGCAGGGGCAAGAACTACAGGGAACAACGAGGAAGGGCCTGAGTGGGTGAAGTGACGTCTGTTTCATTATATGAGAAGATAACACGCAGAAATGATGATAATTCCTCCCAGTTTCAATTTATAAATGCAGTGGGCCCCTAATTGGCTCCAAAATTATCTCACCATTTATCTGAAAGAATGTATACTTTTCCACATTAGAGCTTCCCCAGTAGGTGTTAAAATATATAAAAGAAAACAGCACGGTACCTTTGCTGGAATTAACCGTTCGTGAGAAGGCGCTAAAAAGCTCAATTTATCTTTATCTGCATTCATCTCCCAGTGTTTTCTTTAGGAATTTTATGTCTATAAAGAAAGGCATTAGCACCTTTGAAATATTTATTGGAAATATTTTCATTTACTTCCATAATTACTATTCTAGTTAAATTGCCCATCTCGGCTTAAAATATTTATAGATTTAAAGCATGACTTTTATGGAGACGTTTACGGCTTCTTGACATGCGAACTGAATGTTGTTGACCTACAATTTGGGAGAAAAAAAAAACTCTTCTGTAATCATTTTATATTTTCCTGCTTATATTTAATTTCTTGTACACACAAAATTTACACCCCAGGTCTTTTTTAATTTCTTCAACCAACTCATCTATTTATCGACTCTACTGACTTTCTATATTTTAATATTTCACTGTATGCTTTAATTTTTGTAGCTTCCTCTTTCTGTGTAATTGCCTTTTTGGACTCCTCCTAACTTTTGAATTCCATAAATATACCTTTAATTTTATTCCTTTAATTGTGAATATCAAATAATAAACATACTTAAAGCACCGACTATGTTTCATTTTATATGTTGAGAAGTTTACATTTTTATTTGCAATTAAACAGATTTCCTGTTCCTTTCATACTCGATAAAACAGCCTTTCTGTTATTGTCATATGCAATCACACAGACGTGGTTTTATTGTTTTATCCTGGATGTTTCCTTCTGCTCACTACTTAATTAAAATATGTATTTCAATACAGTTTTTAGCGAACCAGTCTCTAGTGTTTTATCACTGTGGGTTGATAAATGCCACTTTAAAATATTTGTTAGTTATTAAACTTTTTCTAGGACATAGACTATGCTTGCTGTTTTTCTTTTTTTAATTTAAATATATTTCATTGATTAGGCTATTACAGTTGTTCCATTTTCCCCCTTTATTCCCTCCCACCTGCATTCACCCCGCTTAGTTCATATCCACGAGTCGTACGTACAAGTTCTTTGGTTTCTCCATTTCCCACACTATTCTCAACCTCCCCCTGTCTATTTTCTACCGACCATTTATGCTTCTTATTCCCTGTACATTTTCCCCCATTCTCCCTCCCCTTCCCCACTGAAAACCCTCCATGTGATCTCCATTTCTATGATTCTATTCCTGTTCTAGTTGTTTGCTTAATTTGTTTTTTGTTTTTTTGTTTTAGGTGTGGTTGTTGACAGTTGTGAGTTTGTTGTCATTTTACTGTTCATATTTTTTATCTCGTTCTTTTTCTTAGATAAATCCCTTTAACATTTCATATAATAAGGGCTTGGTGATGATGAACTTCTTTAACTTGACCTTATCTAAGAAGCACTTTATCTGCCCTCCCATTCTAAAGGAAAGCTTTGCTGGATAGAGCAATCTTGGATGTAGGTCCTTGCCTTTCATGACTTGGAATACTTCTTTCCAGCCCCTTTTGCCTGCAAGGTCTCTTTTGAAAAATCGGCTGACAGTCTTATGGGGACTCCTTTGTAGGTAACTATTTCCTTTCCTCTTGCTGCTTTTAAGATTCTCTCCTTATCTTTAATCTTGGGTAATGTAATTATGATGTGCTGCGATGTGTGCTTCCTTGGGTCCCACTTTTTGGGGAGTCTCTGAGCTTCCTGGACTTCCTAAAAGTCTATTTCCTTTGCCAGATTGGGGAAGTTCTCCTTCATTATGTTTTCAAGGAATTTTTCAATTTCTTGCTCTTCCTCTTCTCCTTCTGGTACCCCTGTGATTTGGATGTTGGAACATTTGAAGTTGTCCCAGAGGTTCCTAAGCCTCTCCTCATTTTTTTGAATTCTTGTTTCATCATTCTGTTATGGTCGAATGTTTATTTCTTCCTTCTGGTCCACACTATTGATTTGAGTCCCAATTTTGTTCCCATCACTGTTGGTTCTCTGCATATTTCTCTTTATTTCACTTTGTATAGCCTTTACTTCTTCCTCTATTTTGTGACCTTACTCAACTATTTCTGTGAACATCCTGATCACCAGTGTTTTGATCTCTGCTTCTGATAGGTTGGCTACCTCTTCATCATTTAGTTGTATTCAGTTCTAGAGCTTTGGTGTGTTCTTTCATTTAGGCCATTTTTTTTTGTCTTGGCATGTCTGTCATGTAGTAAGGGGCGGAGCCTTAGGCGTTCACCCGGGCAGGGTAACCCACCTCATTGCCTTGTGGCGCTGTGTCGGGGGGAGGGGTCTGAGAGGGAACGGTGCCACTTGCTCGGCTCTCTCCCTGCTTTCAGTCACTTCCCCACTTCCCACAATCAAACTGGGCCCTTCTGGTGCTGATTCCCGGGTAGGTGGGTGTGTAAGTCCTGGGACCTGTAGGTCCCTCCTACGGACTCTCCTGTGAGGCTGGGAATCTCTCCACCTGCCTCAACCCCCACAGGTGTTTTCAATCAGAGGTTGAGGCTTAATCTCCCTGAGCTGGAGCCCTCAGTTGTGTGGTCCGTTTGCTGCCTAGCTGTTCCTCCCGGTTTGTCTGCACCCAAATGTGGGCCCACGTGGTCCTCCCGCCGCTGCCTCGCCACGAGTCCGCTCTGCCCGGGCTGCCCGACTCCGCCCTCCAACCTCGGCATGAGCAGTTCTTCTTTTACTCCTTGGTTGTCAGACTTCCATACGGTTTGGTTTTCTGTAAGTTCTGGTTGTTCTTGTTTTTAAATTTGTTGTTGTCTTTCTTTTGGGTGTGCAAGGAGGCAAAGTGTATCCACGTACGCCTCTGTCTTGGCCATAAGTCTCACTTTCTGCTTGCTGTTTTTCTGAATATTCTACAAATTACTAAAAAGAATGGTTAAGAACAGTACTGTTTTTCTACAGCACCAACGGTATTTTTATTTCATCTATGGCTTTTTCTAAATTTACGGTTGTGTGGTAAATTATCAAGCATCAGATATATTCCCCTCAA